TTTTTTTTTTTTTGAGATCTCACTATTTAGTGCAGGCTGGCCTTGAGATTGCTTAGATAGCCCAGGCTGACCACATACTCACAGCAATCCTCCTGCCTCAGTCTCCTGAGTGCTGGGATTACCGGTGTGCATCACACCTGGCTGTTGTTTTTGATGTCTTTTTTTTAAATATCTTGCCATTGGTTCCCATTTGTAATATGTAGGTTATTCATGAGTTCCCTTTCTCTTACAAGATATAAAATGCACATCTTTTGAATACCTTATTGTCCTTAGGAAAAAGGCATCATTATAATTTTAACCTCACAATATTTAAAATTTTACTTTTCTGTTTACTTTAAATGTTTTGTTATGGATAACTTTAAACATTGGACTTACTACTATAATGAATCCCATGGACCCACATCACTTTGAACAATTATCAACTTTATCAATACATATCATCTGTAATTCTACATTCTCCCATCTCCCCTATATCACTTTAAAATATATCCAAACACATTATTTCATCTATATTTTAATAAGTAGTTTAGTGAATAATATGTATGTAGCAATAACAAGAGTGTTGTATGTACTACTTATAAAATATTAAGCATGAATTTTGTTTGGCTTGATTTCCATGCAATTTAATAATGGACCAATAGAAAATAGAAATAAAGCATAAACGTTGAAATAATTTAGTTACTCTTACCCTTTTAGAAAATAAAATCTTTATTACTACACTATTATTTCTATATGTATCTAGTACTAAAATCATAGGACTGCAACAAAAAGTATAATGTTTTCTTGCTTGCTAAGGGGCTTCTCTCTTTATACACATGATGTAATAAACAATATCTTTAAGTTAAAATTTATTGCAATAAAAGACACATTATCAGTAATCCCCCCTCATAATGTTTCCCCTTGCTTCGAATACATTTATTTTATTCTTGCCACTTTCTGAAGCAGATCTCCAAGTCCTTTTCATGTTTTTTGTTTCACTGTTGTAACTACCCAAATGTCCTGAATTGATTCCAAAAAGTTTACCTTTCATAGTCATTTTAATTTTGGGGATGAGCTGAAAGTTGTACAGTGCCAGATCTGGTAAATAAGATAGATGACATAGTGTATTATTTTTATGAACCTGACTTTCATTAGGTGGTCTATTGTGGTAGCACTCACCATATTTTTGATCACACCTCATAAAGATTTCCATGAAAGAGAACTCTAGAACTGCTTCACAAAGTGGCAAGAATAATAGGATAAGTGAGTTTGAAGGGGATCAATGAAGTGTTTTTTATTGTAATACATTTTTAAAAATTTACACATTGTGTGAATGTTTTGATCTCCCATATGATATATAATATATATTAATTATATGTTAATTCTTGAGGTAGATAATTTATGAAAAAGTTATTTGTCTTGCATATTTTTTGCTCTTTTCCCCCAATTTTAAAAGTAAAAATGTAAACAAGTACAGAAAAGAAAGTAAAATGATGCCTAATGCTATATTCAGAGATAATTACTCTTAACTTTCTAAAAAATATTTATTCGCGTATATATTTACCTCTCTTGTATTTTTAATGCCTTATTAAGGGCGATGAAATAAAAACAAGTTTTTGTTTATTTCTTTATTCTTGCTGTAGATACAGTGGATGGTAGGGAAGAAAAGCCTGCTGCTTCTGATTCTTCTGGTAAACAGTCTACTCAAGTTATGGCAGCGAGTATGTCAGCTTTTGATCCTTTGAAAAACCAGGATGAAATCAATAAAAATGTTATGTCAGCATTTGGCTTAACAGATGATCAGGTTTCAGGTAAGTTTCTACTTCCTGTTTATCCTTCATCTTTTCTTCCCTCCTTTCAGAATAGCTTGGTATGGTCTTACACACAAATATTAAAGAATTTGCTCAATAAATTTTTATGTATCGTACATCTATGTAGAACAATGACTAGATAAAACTATCAAATGACTTCAGCACCCTAGAGAACTTTGTTTTGGTCTCTCTCAGTCACTAGCACCATCTCCCTTAAAGAATAACTGTTGTTTGGTTCAAATAAATTTTATTGAAAGTAATATTGCAGAAGTTTTTTTTAATCTTAACTATTTCATAATCTTATTTCACATTTCTTGCAGGATTTAAATTACATTTGATGGCTTTTACTATCTCTTCTAATCTTAAGTTGAGACTTTTAAAATTAAACATGAATTTCTGGTTAAATTGCTTCAGTGTAGAGTGCTTTTATATAGAGAAGTTTTTAACCTGAAAGCAGCACCTATCCTATAGTTTATTCTTTTTATTTTTCAACCATCATTTCTTTAACATTTTTCTGCTTCTTTCTTTTTTAGGGGATTCTGATTATTTCAGAGCTTAATATTTTCTCTGGGGTCTCTGAGGTTCATTTTTCTTCAGGGCTTTTTTTTTCTCTGTTCTTAAGTTGGATGATTTCTGTTGAACTCTGTTCAAGGTCACTGTTCTTTCTGCCTTTTCCAATGTGCTATTGAACTTGGGATTTTTAAAATTTTAATATCAGGCTTTCAGTGCTATAGTTGCCATATAATTTCTGGTTTTCTCTTGAGACTTATTTTTACATTCATTAAGACTATTTTCCTTTAATTTTTTAATATATCCTTAATTCTTTAAAAATGCAATGATACCTCATTTCACAAACTCTTCTGTTTGCATATAATTCAGTTCACAAACAAAAGGGTTTGATCAAGTTTTGCATCCATTTGTAAACTCTGCATCAGGTGACAAAAATGACCACAGACATCTTCCCCGCACAAATGCAACCATCATCCCCCAAATTGTAAAACCCAAGACAAAAAGAACTTAAAAGTTTAAGACATACCTTAAGTTATCTTCAGAATGTCTTTATTGAATATGACACTACTGGATCTATAGCAGTTTCTGTTTACTTGTATGTTCGTTATTTTGGGAGAACTTGAGGGGTTATGTGGTTAGTGTGGTAGACCTTTGAAACAGCGAAAGGAATCGAGAATCAGGCGCATGGCCATAATTGCTCATAATCTGGGAGAGAAGCTGGGAGCTGTTCAGAAATGGCGGAGAAGTCCAGGTCATAATAAAAGTAAACTGTTTAGAAATTGACTAGTGCCATAGAGGATTATGGGTCAAGAAGGCTTACTAGAAGTGTGGAATAATTTTACGAATTTCATATTTAAATACGTGAATCTTATGTTGAAATATATAGACCATACTGTAGAGAAATATAAGCTTAAAAATTACGAGACACATACTGAGGAAGGGAGCACATCAGTTTAGCTGAAGAAGGGTCATGTGACAAGAGGAATTCTAAGAAATATTTGGATCTTTAACTACCAAACTAGGAGACTGAACCTAATTTGTAGACACTGGAGAACCATTAAGGAATGAAGTGATAGTTTTAGTTGATCTGCAAAATAGATTGCACAGAGCAGGTTATATTGATACTGCAGACATGAGTTTTGGTTTTTTGCGGTGGGAGCACACAGCAATACCACACTGCATATGTTATAGGGAAGAATTTCCAATTGTAACTTTGTATTCATAAGAGACAGCAAAGGAAAAAGAGTACATTCATGTAAAAGATTGTATTTGTGGTAATACTGTTCTTACACCAACAGTACTTTTATTTTTAGTTTAAGAAACTAAACTTACTAATTGAGTAATTGAACTTACTAATTGAGCTTACTAATTGAACTTACTAATTGAGCTTGCTGAAGAAAAGGCTTTGGGTAGGTACTAAATGGACTTTTCATGACTATCCAGGGCCGCCCAGTGCTCCAGCAGAAGATCGTTCAGGAACTCCCGACAGCATTGCTTCCTCCTCCTCAGCAGCTCACCCGCCAGGAGTTCAGGCACAGCAGCCTCCGTATACGGGAGCTCAGGCACAAGCAGGTCAGATTGAAGGTAAAATAGAGTTTAGAGCATATGTGTGGAAAGATATGTGGGTAGAAATGTTTATTGAGGCATTAGACATATAGCTATATATAATGGCAAACCGCTAACACATGCTGCCGTGGTGTGAAAACAGCTCTGAAAAACTTGGATTTACGATATGGTGTGACTTGGTGTTAAAAAACAAATAGAATATCGTATGTCAGGTACACTTCCAGTTATTGAAAACCAAAAAAGTATCGGTGCTAATAGCAATACGGAATGAAAAAGAGATGGAAGAATCCATGCCAGTTGCTAGTGAGTGGTGGCCCTCACGGGGGGAGTGAAGTTGGAAGGGCAGCTGCACACTTTGTTTTGCTGTAATAGGTGCTGTTTCATCCCCTTCTCCCTGCCTGTGCCTGCCCCCAGGAAATGAGTGTTTTTGTAATTTAGAAAGAATTTTTAGAATAAAATTAAAGCCAACTTTAGTTAACTAGTGTACTTTTCGGAGAAAGCCTTTTTATTTTTTACATAGTTAGCAATGTGACTTTAGTGGAAGTAGCAATGTATTTTAAAGCAAATTTGTCCAAATAATCTTTGGGTGAGTAATTTAGTCTCTGTGAGTGATAATATTCTCTCACTGCTAATCAAGTGTGAAACTTGGGCTTAAACAGGTACTTTCAAAAGAGTATCTTTAAGCTTGAATAAAAAATAACTTGAAAGGTCAGTATTTAAAATCAATAGACGGGACCGTTGCTGTGGTTTAAGGAGCTTGAGGCAGCACAAGCTCAGAGCAGCAGTTACTGTACTGAGGCACCTCATGGGAACCCTGGGAACTGTGCAGAAGATGGCAGAGTATTGATGACATTTGGTTCTACTCCATATTATGGTGTTATTTCTGTGAATTTCCGTGCGTGTTAGGACCTATAAAACCACATATGCGGGGGCTAAGGATGTAGCTCAGTGGCAGAATAGTCTTCCTGGCAAGCACAAGGTCGTGAGTTCAATCCCCAGTACCACAAAAAAAAAAACCACAAAAAACAAAAACCAACCATATATGCTACTTTAAAACATTAAACACCAGGTGGTGCTATAAGTATTGTAGAAAAAGGTGGTAATGTGATGTACTTTCAGCACCAGAAACACGTGATTGTTACCAGTCACATTAAAAAAGAATTATAGCCTAAAAGGCACTGAGCACTTTTGACCTGGAAACCTGTAATTCTGTAGTGATACAGTCATAATTGGTCACCGAATGAATTCTTAAGGACTAGCAGGTGTCGTTTTGCTGACGAGTAAATAGTTTGGGGGAATTTCTTACTGCTTAAGTCTTTGTCGACTGACTTCATAGTTTTACTCTGCACCAAAAGACAATTGCCAGTAGAACTAGAACTGAGGCTGGGATGACGTGGGAGGCAGAAGCAGAGTCTGGGTATGGCGAGAGCTTACCGATGTATCAGGTAAACTAAAACCATCCGTTTAAAAATAAAAAATAAAGTTTTTACTTTTAACCATGTAAACTATTACAGAAAGCTACTTAGAAGGCGGCTGATAGTATCTAATAAGGTTTTGTGTTCAACTTGTGATGCACTGAAATTTAAGGGTCCACTTGCAGTATCTATTTAAAGTTTTCTGTTAGCAGCATTAAACAAGTCTTTCATTAGTATTTAACATTTTCAAAAGGTAAAATTTCAGTAATTTTAATTAAACCATGATGACTACTATATCAGTTTATAAATTACTAAATAAGTTTTTGTTTTGGGTATTAGACATATGGCATGTGACAATTTAAAACATACCAAACAACATGCAGTCACAGTTCAGACTGGCTACGTTTCAGGTGCTTGGTAGCTACATGTGGGCTGGTGGCTCTTGTATTAAGTAGCACAGGTCTAGATAAATGTTGAGTTGAAGGCTACTTTATTTTTATTTATGTATTTCTGTAGGTTACTCTGGGTACTCTTTTTCTTTGTGCCAGGGATAGAACCTGGGGCCTTTGTCCTGAGCTCCTTCCTGATACTAGTTTTTATTTTTCATTTTGAGACAGGGTCTTTCGAAGTTGATTGGGCTGGGCTTGAACTATCAGTCTTCCTGCTTCAGCCTCACAGAGTGCTGAGATTACAGGCATGCATAATCACGCTGAATCTGTACTTTCTGATGTATGGCTTGCATCATGCCTGAGATGGCTATGCCCCGATTAGGTGATGCACTCATGAGCGGTCGCTGTCATATGTGTGGCATATGTCATGTTGTACATAATTACAGTGAATACATTTCGATAAAGCCAGTGCCTCTTAGTGGAAAATTATGTGTAGTTATTATAAGGGTAATGGGAAGAACACACAAAAAGAAAAATCATCAGAGCCCAGGATGGATTACTGAAACTAAAAAGGTGAAAAAGGATATAATTAAAATCTGTACTTATATGCCAGTGTAATAAAAACTTGACTTTAAAATAGCTTCTTATGTAAATTTTTTTTATTTTAAAAATAAAAGGAGGAAAACATTAACAGACAGACAACTTTTACAAAATAGCAAAAGAACAGTACAGACAATACAGTTTCAAACAAAGTGGTAGGAAATTAACAATGCTTGTTGTATTACATACTGATATCTTCAAAGTGGTTTCTCAGGAAAACAGAGACATGCAATATTGATCAATCAAGGACTCATTGACAGTTTCTTTCGGCAAAGAAATAGAAGATAGTAGAACAACTATGTTAACTATTCTGTATATACATACATACAAAATTTCTCCTTCTTTCCTTCTTTTTTCCCGCATCCCAATTGCCCTTTACCCTTGAACGTTTTCCTGTCATTTCACAGTGTCTATCATACCTCCGAGTTTATATTAACTCTTTCAGGTTTTACACTAGTGAGACAATGCGATGCTTGCACATGCAGGTCTGATTTATTTCACTTATGAGTATGGTCTCTAGTTGTGACCATTTACCTATAAAAGCCTCGAGTTTATCTTTCTATATAGCTGAGTAATATTCCATTATATAAAAGTACACAATTTTCTTACCCAGTCCTTCATGGATGGACATTGGGTTGCTTCCACAATTTAGCAATTACAAATTGTGCTGCTATGAACATAGGTGCACATATATCACTCTGATATGTTTTCAGATCTTCAGGGAAAATACCCAGCAGGGGAATAGCTGGGTTGAATGGGACCTCTAGTCCTAGTTTTCAGAGGAATCTCCAAACTGATTTCCACAGTGGTTTCACCAGTCTGCATTCCCACCAGCAGTGGAGAAGGGTTCCTATTTCTCCACAGCCTCGCCAGCATTTGTTATTGGTTGATTTCTTAATGCTAGCCTTATGTAAATTTTGAAACGTGCAGAAAAGCTAATTTTTCATGTACCCATCATGTGACTTCAATACTTATTAGTATTTTGACACTTAAGTCATTTTTTTCCTATAATAGCTGTCATTCCCCACATGTATACAGTGTCAAAACTGTGCATGATATCCATTGCTACCTATTACTCCCAAATGTAGAAGCTTAAAACAAGAAACATTTATCATCTCTTTGTTATGGGTTAGGTAGACAGTGTCCCCCAAAGCCTCGTGTGGCTTTTGGATGGTAGTTTTGCCATGGGGTGCTATGCTCATCCTTGCATTTATCCACTGATGAGTTCAGCAGCTGAGTGTGCTATTGGAAGGTGGGGCCGGTCAGAAGAGGCAGATCACGGGGAGTGTGGCCTGGGAGGGGCTGTCTCCCTCCTGCTCCTCCCCCCCGCTCTCTGCTTTCTGGCTCCCTGAGATGAGCAGCTGTCTCCTGTCCAACCCCTCACTGTGCCCTTCCTACCGTGGGACCAGACAGCCGTGGTCTGAAAATGTGGACTAAAATAAACCTGCTGTAGGTTGTGGTGTCAGGTATCATGTAGTTGCTAAGACATCCCCACAGTTTCTGGGAGTCAGAAAACTGGGAATAGCTGAACTGGAGCGTGCTGGCTCAGGGTCTGTCCTGAGGTCGACTGGGACTGCGCTCGTCTGGGCTCACCTAGATGGAGGGTGCCATCTCGTACCGCTACATGGACCGCTCCTGGAGAGCTGCTTGGGTGTGCTAGTGACGCGGCACCTCCCGCAGAATGAGTAGTGGGGGAGAGTGGTAGAAGAGGGCTGTCTTCTGTTTGTCACTGTAAATGCCACTGTTATTTCTTTTTTTTAAATTATTTTATTTTATTTTTTATTTTAAAGAGAATAATAAAAAATGATAGCAAAATACCAACAACATAGGTAAAAACAAAACACACCCAAAACAATGAAAATGATACAGGGTTTCAGAACAAAATGATAGTAATTAACAGTGGTTGTTATATTATATATTGTTGTCTTCAACGAAGTTGCTCAGGTGACCAGATGTAAGAATGCAAGACTGATTGAACCATTAAAGAAAATTTAAAAAAACACATTAGAAGCGATAACAGAGTTTCACTGGGCAAGATGGTAGGAGTTCACCAATGGTTGTTATATTACATATTGTTGTCTTCAAATTAGTTGTTCAGATTACCAGATGTAAGCATGCAAAATTGGTCAAGAAGAAAAAAAATTATTAACTGTTCCTGTGAATAAGCCATTGGACATCAGGAGTACAGTTACCCCAGCCACCCTTTCATATATATTTTTTTCCCTTCCTTCTTTCTTTTTCTTCTTTCCCTCATCCCAGTTGTTCCTTCCTTAGAAACATAACTTCCCATTCTTACAAAATTATTTATAGGAATTTTAACTCTGTGTAACCTTATGAAGCACCAAGAAGAAAGCAGTACTAAACCCATTTTTATACACTGCTTTTTATTTTAAAGAGAAAAAAGTAGAATAACAATGAAACAGGGTTTCAAAACAGGCTAGTAGGACAATAATAATAATAATAAGTACATTGTGTGTTGTTGTCTACATAGTAGTTACTCAGAGTACAAGCTATAGGCATGAAATGTTGTCTAAACAATATTAGCACAGATGTTTCTTTTCAGTGAACTAAAGGAGACTAGCTGTATAACTATCGTGTGTATATATATATATAT